AATGAGATGCATATTGCAATTTTACTTTTTTAACCCTTCCAACCTATTTATTTTTAATCTGTAGGATGTAAAACACAAGAATAAAATATTTTGACGTTCATTGAATGAAACAAATAATAAATAAAGCGAGTTTTCTGTTTTGCATATCATTAAATATACTGAATAAATTAGGTATTTGTAGAAATGTATACTACAACCTTTCTGCAATCAAGTGTATATAATATTATATATATATTTTTTAATTTGTCTAAAGTTGAAAAATTAAATAAGACATTATTTTCACCATTCCATTCTATTTACTTGCTATTTCTCTAATCGTTTAGAGTGCAAACAATATAAACGTGAAACTTTAGTAATACTAAATATCACAATTTCATGCAAATTCCATTGTTTTTTTTTTTTCTTTAACTAGCACTATTTTGTACTATTTAGTAATTAGTGTTTCACGGATTAATAGTTTGCACTCTACTCTTGAAAAAACTCAAAAGGCATTCTAGTGGCACAAAGCGGCTGGCCATGATTGTTAACTTTCGAAAACAATCAACCAAGCTTTATCCTCTACCGCCTGAGAAGCCTTTCCGAAGTGTTATATATCGTTCTCTGATTGGCTGAAGATTTCAGTGGTTAAATTAATGTCGTGAAAGTGCTGAAGGCCACGCTGATTGTATGTATTACCTGTTTTAAACAGCTAAGCATAGGGAATGAATATTTCTCTATCAGTTAATTGTATTATATTATAATATTCTAGTTACATACATGCAGTATATGGTACAGTAATAATGCTTCAATGGCTCTTTCAATTGACTCACTAAAAAGACTGAAATCAATTTACTTTGTCAACTTTTTGTCACCTTAAAATAATCTGTCAGTGGTTTTTTTCTTTGTTTTGTTTTGTTTGTTTGTTTGTTTGTTGTTGTTGTTTTTTTTTTGTAGTTGTTGTTGTTGCTGTTGCGTTTTTTTTGTTTGTTTTTGTTTCGTTTTTATATTATATATAGCTACTTATGAAAAATTACCACCTGCCAAACWAWATGATCATGGCCAAATGTAAATGTTGCCCGGCGAATCGTTATCTTAATTGCTCAAAACAACTTTTTTTGTTTGTTTTTGTTTTTGTTTTGTTTTGTTTTGTTTTGTTTTAGTTTATTTAGTTTTTTTGTTTGTTTGTTTTTTGAATAAGCAAAAAAAAAAGAAAGTTTATTTAGATCTCATGAGAACTAAGTAATTAGCCACACATGGCCGGTTCACAGTCAAGAATGGTTCTTCAACAAAGTCTGAAGGCCATGTTCACCATGTTCACATGCAGTACTTGTACTTGAAAAAAACTCAAAAAGTTATAACGTTGGTTTCTTTCGCTTGTTGGTACAAGTTGGTATTAAGTTTGAATTTCCTCATACATTACGTTTTTCAAGAATGCACATTGCTTTCGTGAATGCTAAGTATTCAAGTGCATTTGTTTCCCGGCCCTAAGCTCTAAAAGTTTACATTTGCATTTCTTGTAATTAAGGAATTGCTCCAATAACAATCTGAATAGATGAGCAGATGGGCAGATAATATTAATGATGACAACAATAATTTTGTATAACAATAACCATACTATATAGTTGAGTTGCCTTTGTCAGATAAAGGTTGTCAGTTTGAGTGCTACCATCATTAGTGACTGGTATCACAGCAAATATGTAGCACTGTAAATCACGTGTTGTTKTTTTTTTTTTTTTTTTTTTTTTTGCGTACGTATTTCCCGCTTCACTTACTAGACTAATTTTAATAATGGCAGAAAAAATGAATTTAAAAAAAAGAGAGAAAATAACAAAAATGACCTGGACACTATATCAGCGCGAGCGCCAGAACTCTATTCCAGAAAATACCATGCGCCTATACTGATAGTCTAATAAATCATCAGGTGATGTACAAAACTTCATCTCTTAAGCGAATCTTCAAAGAAAAGCTTTACAAACTAAAAGCCTTACAAACTAAGTATAGCTACAGCTGATGTATCAATAATAAAGAGGTTACACGTAAATGTGAAATGTAACAAAAATGACAATAAATAGTAGTGAAAAAAATTTGAATTTACATTGTTTTACTGGGATAAAATAAGAAAGTTTAGGAAAAATGGAATAAAAAGAAAGAAATAGTTAATCTATAATTGAATGTCGATGTGAAGATAAGATAAGAGAAAGATGTTGGAGGGTTCAGTAAAAAAATATAGAACTTTATCAATACTAACTTAGCAAAACGTCTTTTTCTCTTGGGAATGCTTGCAGGCCATCAATTACCTTGGTAAGAAACCAAGTGGAAGCTTAAAGCGAGCTAAATGGTTACTTTGGCTTCGCATGTAAACACTTTAATTAGTCGTGTTTTTTTTTTTTTTTTTTTTTTTTAACTTGTAATGATGTTGGATCTAAGGTCCGGAAGCTCGGAAAATAATAAATATATATGTAGATGAAACAACAACTGAATATTTAATGGCACCTACATACGAAGAGTCCTTAAATTATTTCAATCTTAAAATCCTGACCTTTTTGTTCTAATATTCAATATCATAGTGCCCCAGCAAGTAGGACCATTTATCCACAACATAAAAAAGCACAAATAGTTCAAAACTTGAGTTACCAATGTATAAATTTTGACTTACTTTAATTAATTGAAGAGATATTCTGGATATGAATCATGAAGTGCAATCTGGCAGTCGTGTTTTAACAATTATATAGGGCAAAGTATCGAAGAACCTTGTCATTTCAACATTTTGTTCAAAGTTTTCGTTTCAGCAGTACAGGCCAATTTGCCTTGTTAATCACTACAAATTGGTAGTATATTTACGAATAATTAGGACATTAAAGGTTTTTCGGTGCCCTAGGCTTTGCCGTTGTCTGTTCTTTTCAACATAAAATGTAGTTATCGCATACAGTTTTGGTCCTAGTGCCCGCAAAAATGTTTCTTAGATCGACGTGGTATAGAAATGATTAACGTGTCTACTGCGCGTGCGTCTAATTGCAGAAATCATTTTGCTTACATACAATTAATTCATCAAAATTTATGTTGTTGAATACTGAAGGCTGCACATCGAAGCCGGAGCCGCATTATTATCATATGTTGAAACTAGGCCAAAGTAAACTTATATTTGTACAACATCGAATGGCATGTCTACAGTACGTAAACGTGCGATACATCAATCAACGTTTGGTGTAAAAAAAAAAAAAAAAAAAAAAAAAAAAAAAAAAAAAAAAAAAAAAAAAATCTTATTATCCATGAAAAAATATTTCATTCTGGAAATTATTGTCGTGTAAACACAGCACAGGGTTCATTGTAATGCTGTTTAAACAAGCAGTTTTATAAGATCAACATCTTAGACGCTCTCTGACTCTCTGTTTTATGTGTTTAGATTAGTTCCGCACTTTTGCTACTGCGCATCCATTTCGCGCATCTCGATTCTTACCGTTTACAAGCATTGTTTTGAAAATTTCTTTATTATATAGATATCGATGAAACACCAGATTTTCTCTAGTGTCGAAAACTTTATATATTTCACCAGTGGAAGACACCATATCTTTCACACGTGAAGATATCCCTGTTGACATAGTAACGTATTTTAATAAAGAATTTTTGAGCTTTTGTTTTATTTAAGTTCTATCGTTATCTATATAATAAACAGAACATTAAATGGACGCTTGGAGATACGGATTTTATCTTCTCGTGTTCAATAATTGATATCTCACGAGTGAGCGCAGCGTATCTCCGCGCGCCCATGTAATATCCTCTATGTATTCTGACAAAAGATTTCGTACATTCATGCAAAATTTAAGGTAAAATTGGGCGTTTTTCGAAACATACTAAAAATTTTGCCTGACCTGGTCGGTTTTGTTACAAAATTGACAAATAATCGACTTTGTGAAAATGAATGAATAAAAAATATTTTGACCACTCAGTTCCAAAATAAATTAAAGGCCCCTGAAGATTACAAATACAATTTCACAACTTTCAAGGTATAGTATAAAGTACTGCAACTCACGTTCGCGCGAACAGGAATGGTGATTTTGGATGGAAAATTCAGATTTTGTCGCTTATAGGTCATCTACTAGTACGGTGACCCCCTTTATTTATTTATTTATTTTTGAATTCAAAGCTTTGAATATTAATCTTTTAGTATAAAATACCAATCTGTTGACAGTACTAATACACTAATTCATGCTTTATGTAACTTGTCACGCTTCAACAGGTGTACGTATTTTTTATTTTTTTCGATTTATGCAAAAACACCCATCGTCAGACAAGTATAATCTATATTTTAAAAAAAACCTCTTGAAAAGTGATCGAATTTTTTTTTCAGCCTGCTACAAAAAAGAGAGAAAAAAAACAAAAAACAATTGGTCAATATTTTTTTTCGGAGAGAAAAATTAAACGAAAATTTCTGTCATTGGCATGATGTCACTGAAGATGATTTAAAAGTATGCCAAAATATTGTGCATCACATAGTTGTCTCAGTGCTAGCTTTCCTCTGGAAATGTTCCTTCCTGAAAAACAAAACAAAAAAGAAAAAAAAAAAAACTAAGTTGCCTTTCTTCTCTTTTATTTAAAGTTATGAGTAAGTAATGTTTCTCATCTTTTCTTTGCACCACAAAATGTAGAAAATAAATTTACGAGTAAGAAACGATGAACAACATCCATGGTGCTCACCCTTTTTTACATGTTCCTGCTTCTGCTGCATTTTAAAGCAATTTTATAGCAAAAATAGCGAGAAAACAATATCCTTGAAGTTATAATTTTAAAAACGATTTGCAACGCTTCACGAATTTGGGTGTCATCCTTGCGCTCGGACCAAGGACGCTAGGGCAAAAATTGGAGGTTTTTTAGCCGTTAGACTCCGTTATATTGGTGTTTTTTTTAGCCGTTAGAAACTGTTTAAACTGTTACTCATCTGTTCTGTTATGTGCTGGCTTGATTTATTCTCAGTTTTCCCGTCTATATACGCCAAAATATTGCTGTGACCATCGTTCCAATCGTACGTAACCAACGAAACCTAACGAACCAACTTCGAATCCAGCGAACTGGCCTCGGCCAAACTCGAACCCCGACTTACTTGTCAACTTACCGTTTGCATTTAAATTCAGGACGGTCCTCAGAATTTTTCTGGTTCAATTATTTCTTAATTGGACAGCAAGGAGTCCTATTACATATACTAATGTAGACGTTAAGGCCGTACTGAAGTTGAAAGGTACACAAAAGTACTGGAACCTTAGTTCCATAGATCCTTTGCCAAAATGCTGGTCGCAAACTCAAATGTGTCAAAATTAAACTTATTTCTCTGCCATATATATAACACTTCAGATATTGAATCTTTGTAGGATGGCTCAAGTAAAGGTTGCTCTTTCTAGCGTAGGCATATGTTTTAAAAATTTAACTTATTTGAATTTGTGGCCATAATTTTGGATAAAGGTCGATTGTAGAAAAGTAAAGTTCACCATACCTTGTCGGTCAAGAACAAAACATGTATCAAAGTAGGATCAGGCATACCGTTATCAACGACAGTTGTCTGACTTCATACGTTCATTGCGCATGCGTAACAAACCATTATTCCTACACTCACACGGATGATCACACTTCGCAACAAAGCCATTGTTTTATCCTACTCGGATCCCACATGCTTGGATGGGAACTTGTTTCATCATACAAATATAATAACCATAAGTTATAGGTTGTGCTCGCTTAACAGCAGCACATATACTAAAATTGGAACGATACAGAGAAGATTAGCATGGCCCCTGCGCAAAAGCTGGGGCATAATCTTCGCCACGATGGGGCAAAAAAGGGGGAAAAAGAGGGGGGAAAAGGGAGAGAAAAGAGAGAAAGATGAAGGTTAACACAGGGAACCCAGTACTTAACACAGGAATCCCATTCATCTGGGTTAATATGCAATTTGCTTAAACAGGAATCCCACATGGTCTGGGTGAATATGCAAATTTCATAAACAATACAATAAATGAAGGGCGTGTCTAGCCAAAAACGGTGTTTTTTTTTAAGAAAACCTATTATTTAAAGAAAACAGTTTTTTTGATGTAGTTGTTTTGCGATTAACGTTTTGTTTTTCAGAAAAAAGTAATGAAAAATATAATGGCATAATCATTATGAATTGATTTTATTTCTAAGACAGTTTCATATAATTCCTTTATTATGAAAATAGTTCATTTTATTTAATTTCCAAATGTTTAAATATAGAAATACACGATATTGATCATTTCATTTCCATATTCTGTTTTCAATATGTGTTTGCTTAAGATCGGATTTGATTTTTCATTTCTTGAACATTTTGATAGAGTGTTGTATAGAATTTAATGACGGTTTTCAATGCACAAAATATATGTGCTAGGTTTAAATTGTTAAATGTTAATATGAAAAAGATGCATCATTGCACTTTTTGGACAGTCCTTTTCAGTCTTGATACCAAAAGGCGATTAAAGGATTAATCGAGTTTTGCTGTTGTGGCTTTCTTTATTTCATCTTCTTTTTTTCTGAGAGCAAGCCACTCTTCTTTTGGGATTTGCCCAGGAGCTTGTGGACAATACCTCCTTCCTTTGTATTGTGTGTGCCCTGCTGTCATCATGGGCTCTCCACACGTTTTGCAGGCATAAACCTTACGCGGAACCTTGCTGGCGGGTTGGTCTCCTTCCGCTTTTGATTTTCTACGCCTCCAGTCTGTAGTACGTGAAATAGGTGGGGCAGGCGGAGCGGGTGCTTCAGCTGGCTGGTCGTCGATCTCCACGCTCTTCTCCGCCAATCGCGCAGTTATCTGTCCACGTACCTTTGCATGGCCAGTCGTATCATGGACCTCAGGAAACTCATGGGACTCTGCCATTGACTTGGGGGCCAACGAGGGTCTTGACATTGCTGGTGGCAACTTTTCTTTGCTGACAAGCGATGTTGTAGGCACATCAAGGCCTTTTAATAGCAGCTTCACCTCATCGCGGCGCACTTGATCTTTATACCAGATCATCAAGGTGGTCTCGTTGATGTGGAACAGCTGGAGGTTTACATCTTCTAGTGCCTGGCTATTAAAAATTCTTGCTCTGATTGCGTTATATTCCTCGAGCACTAGTCGCCATCTTGATGTGTATACGTTTCTCCCATGGTTTCCGTGTTGGGTACGTGGAGTTGGGTGTTTTCCACACAGATGGATACAAATTGTTTCTACAAGCCTGCTCAATGATGGTGATGAAGCTGGCATACCGGCTGTAATGAAACATCTGTTATAGAAAAAAAGAATGGATAAGTGAAACTCTAGTACTTACACTCGCACTTGAATGAATAACAATAAACAATTAAAACTGTTGGGAAACGGGAACGAACAGGAAGCGATCGAACTCAAAACAAAGAATAGTAGCCAACTGTCAAAAGATTGGTATTAGGTCAACGACCACACAATAAATGTACCAATACAATATCTACCTTTTCATCGCTTCCACGGTGATATGACCAGAACGCTTTCTTCTGGCAAAACGGCCACGTGTAGGCTTTATGGTTTTGGTTCGGAAAGTGATAGGCCTTTTGTCGTAGTCAAGAAGGGCCTGGTACAACTCTTTGATTTTAGTAGCCTGACTAGTTGTTACACTCAACCCCTCAATGGCTATGAGCGCTTTTGCCAGGGCGTCTACTTTGTCCCATCCAGGAATCCCTCTCACATCAAAGGCTTCGTCCTCTGGTTTAGGGTTTAGGGTTAATTCCTGTGAGATAGGACAGAAGCAATAAATAATGAGAAATTGGTCTTCATGTAAAAAACTCCTGATGGCATAGATGTGTATTTGATCTTAAAATATATTTACCTCTGATTCCTCTTCGCTATCTGAACTAGTTTCCGACATGGCCACGTCATCATCATCAACTGTCTCTTCTTTGACAACATCACAGACTTCCGCCGACAGCTCTTCATCGTTCATGTCAACAAAGCCATCGTCAATCTCTTTTTCAAGGGTTTCGTATTCGTAGTTGAACGATTCTCCAGTTTGGTGATAGAGATACTCTACGCCAATTAGCTCTCCAGTATACTTCGATGGCGGGCGACAGTTTGGAAAGAGGGGCTCACCATAAACTCCTTCTGCAAGGCTGTTGATCTTTACTTGTAGTCTGGTCTCGAACGATCTGATAGGTGTGGCTTCACTTTCAATAGCTTCAGCGGAACGTGCCGTGTTCCATCGTGTTATTCCGTCCAGGAGAAAGGCTTGGAAGTTCACTGCATTGGCTGATGTACCTGGTATGAACCTCGCCAAGTGTAAGTGAAAGCTCTCCAATGACGTAGAACCACGTGCACAGCGGTAAACTGGTAATCGTATTCCACCTTTGAAAAGGTGTCCAGTTTCGGTGTACAGTGGTATGCCGTCAGGGTCTTGAATGCACGCTACGTGTTTCTTCTGCTCGGTCCAGATATTTTGAATTTCATCTTTGAACAGTGGCACTCCCAGGGTGTCTGTTGCTGTGGAAAGCGTAAGGATTAGCCTCTCAATGCTGCTTTCTGTCTCTGTCGTTCCTCTTGTGGTTCTTTTGCAGTGTTTTTGCAATTCCTCCTTACTGATGGCTTTTCTATACAAAACGAAGAAACAAAAAATGATCATTAGATTTCCGTCCGTTAAATTCTAGACTAATTAATGCCATGCTTACCTAACAGCACTGTCCGTAGGGCGTGGTACACCAGCTTGGATGAGTTGTCCCTTCTTTGCTTCACACAGTTGTTGATAATCCTCACTATCCCACTGGAAGATTGCTCCAGATAGGCGATACATGAACGAACCATAAAGTGGATGCGACTCTGATGTTACACCTGATGCTAATCGACGCATGAAGTGGAAGATGTCCAAACGCACTACCATGTCAGGCCATTTATCAAAGAGGTGGTTGTATTTGGACGTACCATTGGAGTTGCAACAGTCGCGATCGGTGTATAGTAAGAGCGGCGGTGCATGCTGTGCCATGTTATAACGTTGCATTAGCCCATCTGCAAGTTTCTTCAATGCGGGAGTACCTTCCGATGCTGTGAGAATGGACTGGACAATTTGGCCTTTTTCATTGCCAACGTTGGTCACCCAGCTTGCAGAACCCGCGGATTGACCTAAAATGCAATAGCAAAAACCTTTTAGAAAACATTTTACTTTATTGCTATAAAGGTTTTCTCGCGTGGCTTTCCATATACACGAAAATAAACTTACCTTGAAGCTTTTTACAAATTTTCTTCGTTGAATCGATTTTCAAAATATTTCCACAGACAGACGTTGCCTCGGCCAACAACTCAGAGAGTCGCGAGTACACATCACGGACATACGCTGCAAGGAACCACTTCGCTGTTGGGAACGTGTGCATGGATGGAACAGCGTCGAAGGTCACTTGGGTTTGGCCCAGAGCAGTTAAACAGGAAGTTCCACTATAAAAAGGGGGGCTCCGCCCCCTTACGCGTCAGATCCGAGATTTAAATTTTTAAAATGGGTGAATTCAAAATGGTGGAAGTGGACGGGGAGAAGTTGAGAACTTGAAAAACCTTATCATTGTTGAAATATGACGATAAATGTTATAATTTTATA